AAAAGAGTGAAGACGGAGGTACCAATTGGTCAGAGCTCGATCGAGCTTACTTGAAAGGCGGCTCATTCACCCAGGTTAATGTACACCGTATCTTCGAGATAACAGCCGATAACACGAGGATTCGTATGCAACTAACCGACTCTTATTTCTCAGGTAAAGCATATGCCAGTTTCTAGATTAGAAAACTTGTCTAGAATCCTAAGGTCGAGGCAGAGACGGTAATCTTTTTCCTCATTTGAAACGAATGAGGAAAGCCAGTGTAAAAAATGAAAAAAAAGTTTGATTTGCTAATAACAAGTACCGCAAAAATGCAAAATACTAGTAACAACACCGCAGGTAAATCGGAAAACCGGCAAAGCCAGTTCAGCGAAATCGAAGAGGCAGTAGATCAGCTTTACGAGTCGGTCTACAAGATTAAATCGAAAACCCATGCCAAAGAAAACATAAAGCTTGTAGACAACCTTTACGAGTTGGTCTCAAGCCTTTATGAAGAAAAGGCCTCTGAAGATGAGGTTAAATTGGAAATCGAAAAGGTTGTAGATCAGCTTTACGTGTCATCCTACAAGATTATCCCCATAACCCATGCCATAAAAAACATAATTCTTGTAGACAGCCTTTACACGTTGATCTTAAACTTTTATGAAAAAAAGACCTCGGCCTCTGAAGACTCAGCAGAAGATGAGAACTGCAAGAAGAGTCTGAGGACTCTGCAGCTCACTAGTACCAAAAACCTCAACAAAGAGAATGTTATATTCAGCAAAGTTGAAATAGATCAAGATCAACATAAAATTATTAAGATTCAAGCGAAGAATGGTGAAAATAAACTAGTCCCACTGGTGATAGAGACACCGCTCCTCCGAGCTCCTATAGGTGTGCGAGATTCTCATGTTGGGTACTCAATTCCAATGTATCTCTGGGGGAAGGGTGAACCAACACAGGAAGAGTTTGATTTTTACTCAGCATTGAAAGAGCTAGAACACCTGTTACAACCATCTTGAGGAAGTTTTAGGATCTGATTATTTTCAAACCCGCGGAATGTATATGCTCTCTCCCTCTCCTCACTCTCTCCCCTTTCCTCCATTAATAAACCCAATACTGAACCCTTCATGCGCGCATTTCTACTCGGGGGATGGAAAAATAAAGGCAAGCCTACTCGATATCCAAGGTGAGGATTGTCATGTAAAGCTAAATTTGGTCATCGATTCGATCCATATCACATATTCATGCGCCGATGTACGGATTAAAGTGAGCGATGTGTTGATAAAACCACCTCAACAGAAACCTTTTGTGCCCACCCGCTATTCGGGTGAGCCTTTGGGTGATGAACTCAGATATTATTATTATATCAATTATTAGCACCATCTAAACAACCTTTCCTCATTCGTTTCAAATGAGGAAGACTAAGGCCTCGGGCCTTAGGAAGCTCAAGCACCGACAGGGTTCGTGAAGCGTTTTTCATATTGTTTTACTAACCTGCTTGAGTGAAACATTGGACACAGGTCTGTGATTGTGTCATCGATGAGCCTCACCTCATTGAGAAACGATACTTTGTCGAAACTTCTCCCCCTCAGGTATGATCTCAGCTCTGTTAATATCTTCTCGTATGTCGTGTAAGAAAACCTACTCATATCCAGCTTGCGGTCAAACCTCTTTACGTCTGTGAAGGTCTTGAGAAGGAGACCGCTGCCAGATATTACACCTAGAATTATAGGATTCAGGGTCACTCCTCCAGCTATTCCCCCAGCAACGATGAGAAAACTACTCCCCAGATTACAGAGAAGGCTCTTTCGTTTGAAGCTCTTGAAAATCTTTCGCGAGCACCACCACTTTTTGTGATAATGTGTGTATAGAGCTTTCAGCTCTTTGATCTTTTCCTCCCCGATAGAGTAGTCTATGTGGTTAAATGTAAAAATAGCAGCGTCAGTCATTTTATTATTAGTTGTTAATAATAAATGTTTGTAAAAAAATAGGGTATTAGACCAGCCCTAGTCTTCGGACTCTAGCTACGCTCGCCTTTCCCCCACTACTCAAACCCACACAGGTGCCACCCTCTTCTTCATATTCTTTTCTTTTTTCTTTTTCATATTCATCATCTTCATCTTCTTCGCCATATTCTTCACCATCATATTCTTCTTCAGGTGAAAGGGTGACCATCGGCTGCCTCTGCGGTAACGGTTTCACATACACATCGTGCAACCTGAGCTGCACCGATACGCTATCATCGCTGATGTATATCGAGTCAACGATCACAGCCATCTTCACTTTCATATATTGGTCGAGAAAATCAAGAGGATTCTCTTTTGATTTCTCTTTTGAGTGAAAAAGAGTGTGTATCCTCTGAGTCTTTTCAGAGTACATGAGCTTTGTGTAGAGTATTGGAGGTTTCCCTTCTTTCTCAACCAAAGGAAACTTCAACATTTGCGCTGTTTCTACACCGAAGACTTCTTCAAGATGGTCATAGCAGAGATTTTTCAGCTCTTTCAAGCCAGCGTAAAAATCAAACTCTTTTCGCGATGGTGGCTCATCTTCGAATTCATCCCATAGGCATATCGGAATCGAATAACCTGTGATATCACCCGCTTTATTCAAGCTCTTTTGCACGCCGAACGAAAAACGAAGAGGTGATTCGAGGACCAACGGTCCAGGTGTATTTTCCCCCCAACCATGTTTTGCCTCAATGTTGATGCGCTGGTGGCCATATTGGTTGGTAGTCGCCTCGTTGAATATGACACTATCTTTCTTAATCGCTTTGACACTAGTGAAACGCATTTTGATACTTGTGATTCTTGTGTGTTATACTACTACCAAAGATAAAAAAAATCCAAAAAAGGTAAAAGCGAGGGCGGGACTCATTTGAAAATTAAGCGAGGGCTCTCGCTTTTTACATCGTTGGCGTTTATTTTTGAGACATATATCCCCCTCGCTTTTTTACATCGTTGGCGTTTATTTTTGAGATATGCATCCCCCTCGCTTTTTTACATCGTTGGCGTTTATTTTTGAGATATGCATCCTCCTCGCTTTCATCAATTATTCACAAAAATCAACATACATTTTCAACTATACTTGTAAAAGCTGAAGCATGGTTAACATTCCAAAATTGACTACGGAGAGTAGTAGTCGAAAAAGAAAAGTGCCCGGCGTTGACTATCTCGATGAGGAGTACAGGATGTTGATGGCTGGCCCCTCAGGTAGCGGTAAGACGAATACGCTTTGCTATATGTTGAGAGAACCGCTTGTCGTATACGATCAAATATACATCTATACTCCAAACTTTCACCAAGATTTGATACAGGACCTTGCGAAGATCATGCATCGTCACTCGCAAAAATTAGGTTATGAGATTTTACATCTGATGGATCCTTTTCAAATCCCTGATACAACCGAGTACCCCAGCGAGGGACGAAAGGTTGTGATTTTCGATGATTTGATCACAGCACCGAAAGAGACTCAGAATAAAATCCTCAAGCATTTCATTGATGGGCGCCATCACCTAATCTCACCGGTGTTTCTCTCTCAGTCTTATCACAAGACCCAGTAGACATACGATTGAACTGCTCACACATGATCGTCTATACCCCTCCAACTAATCGACATCGCAAACTAATCGCCGATGAGAATTGTTTCGAAGTAGATCTCTTCTCGAAATTAAGACCCTTCGATTTCCTTTTCCTTGACAAAACAAAAAATTCATGTACTCGAAATTTCGATGAGAAGATTCAATGATTTTTTTTTCATTGAAACTTTCTAACACTTTCTCAAAAAGAGATGAAGAGTTATTGTGTGAAACAGCGAAAACAGACAGAGTCTGTTCCAGGAAGCACAAGGGAAGAGGTCGAGAAAAATGGTCGACTCATGATTAAATCCAAATGTGTCGAGTGTGGCATTACTAAAGTAACTTTCAGCGGTAAAAAAAAAGGCGGGGCGCTTTTTGATGATGTAGGGAGAACCAGCACTTCATTGGGTGAGATGGTTTTGAAGGGGGTTGCGAACATGGCTCAGCAAGGTCTAGCGAAAGCTGTAAAAATCTGATTTTGCGGAAAAGAGGATGAAGCAGACGGTAAACAAGTATCTCGATCAAGCTCTCGATTCTTTTGTTAACGATACGAGTAGAAAGATAAGTGGAGGAAACGCTTACGATATAAATCAGATGCTGCCAATGGCGATGTATTCGCCTGAGGGGGTACTTGACCCGACTCACCCTCTTTACGAAGGAGGATCCTTCGATATCCACAAAGCTATCGGTAAATTACCGAAGCCTAAATCTGGTTGGACTCTCCCTGGGCATAAATACACTGGGCCCTACAACGATCTAGATAAGCAGTTGAGGTATGACCCAAAGACAGGTGAGAAACTCGAGATCTATGACCCGCCAACAGGTCCAAGTGACGCTGTCGCAATGCAGCACGACGTCGATTACAGCGTTTGTGCGAGCAAGTCAGACCCAAAGAAGTGCAAGAATGCGGCAGATCGTAAAATGGTAAAAGATCTCGATGCGATCCCATACTCTCAAAGACAGTGGGGGCACTGGGTTGCGAGAAACGTTATCAACACAAAGCAGAAGCTCGGTTTGGGTTTGGGTGGGAAAAAAAAGTCGAAGCCCAAGCCGAAGGCTGGCAAGAAGAATTAGCGAATGAGCTGCATAAACCTATAAGGAGAAACTTTCCCAAACGACGCGTTATTGTAAACGGTATCGATGAGATTTGGTGCTCCGACTTGGTTGAGATGCAAAAGTTTGCAAAGTGGAACAAGGGTTATCGTTATCTGTTGATGGTTCTGGATATTTTCAGTAAGTATGGTTGGATTGTACCTCTGAAAAATAAAAAGGGTGAGAGTGTAGCGGAGGGATTCAAAAAAATTTTTGCTGAAGGGAGAAAGCCAAAGAGATTGTGGACGGATAAAGGTTCAGAGTATTACAATACTCACGTCAAAGACCTGCTGAAAGCTAACGGTGTTGAGTTGTACTCGACAGAGAATGAAGAGAAATCTTCTGTGTGTGAGAGATGGAATCGTACGATCAAAACGAAGATGTGGAAGCAATTCACAATTCAAAACAACACGGTCTATCTCGACATTCTACCGAAGATTGTGGAGAAGTACAACAATACAAAACACAGATCGATTCGCATGACCCCACAGAGGCTTCCAAGAAGAAGAATGAGAATGCTGTCTATTTGAAACTGTACGGTGAAGAGTTGAGCGAAATGCGAGACAAACCAAAGTTTGCGGTTGGCGATCACGTTCGAATTTCCAAATACAAGCGTAAACTGTTCGATAAGGGATACACGCCGAATTGGTCTGAAGAGATTTTCGTCGTTGACGAGATACATTACTCCAAACCCATCACTTATAAGTTGAAGGATCTTCTGGGAGAAGAAATCAAAGGCACTTTCTATCAACAGGAGATGATCAAAGCGAAGCAATCAGACCTTTTCAGAATTGAGAAGGTCATTCGAAAGAGTAAAGGAAAGGCTCTCGTAAAGTGGAGCGGTTACCCAGAAAAATTCAATTCGTGGGTTGATGAAAGCGAACTTCAGAAGTTATGAAAAATATCTTAAAGAAATGTTTAAGATAAACAAAAGATAACAAGATGGATGAGCTTGACACTCTTACAAAGCGTGAGTTAACGCAAAAAGCTAAAGAAATGGGATTGAAACGATATTATTTACTTGACAAAAAAGGGCTACTCGCTCTCATCAAAAACCCACCCGGACCGGATTCTCTCGAGACTCTCTCGAGAAACGAACTCCTCGAAAAGGCAAAACAAATGCGTATACAAGGTCTTTCCGAAAAGAATAAGAAGGAGTTAATTCAACTGATCCAAAACCCCCCTCCCCGCACAAAACGTACCGGAAGGGGTCATATGAAAAGGGTGATTTTATCACCTGAAGATGATCCTGTAGAAGAGCTTGTTTTCCCCTCAATCCATGCCGCTTCAAAACACTTCAACATAAATCCTGGAAGTTTAGCTTGGAAGGAAAACTCAAAAAATGAAGAGACTAGAAGCAAAATAGTTATCGATGGAATACGATACAATCTCAGATTTGAGCGTCTCATGAAAAAGTGAAAAGATTGACGGTATTCCATCAAAAAAATTGATTTTCCTAACTGGAAACGAGTTAGGAAAAACACCTTAAAGATAAGGTTTCATAAGATTATTATTGAGTCAAAAAGCAAAAATGGAGGTGAACACAATTACACAATTCCGTCAGATGGCAAAGAAACAAGGCGGTTACTCGAAGCGACTACTCAAGTTCATTCAGTCAAGAGCAAACACTGCTACCGCTACTAGTACTACTAGCAAAACTAGCACTACTAATACTAGCAAAACTATATCTTTAAGTAGTAAAAAGGGAGCTTCCTCATTACCCAAAGATTCGATTTTTAGTAGCGATACAGACAAAAACATAGAGAAAAACACAGTTGCGCAGCTTCGTCAAATTGCAAAGAGACGAGGCATTCGTAACTACACGAAGTATCGAAAACCTGAGCTTATCAAGCTCATTCAGTCAGCCACTACTGCGGAACCGAAACCGCAGAGGCAATATCGAAAAATAGAATTAATCTATCATCAGCCAAAACCACGATTCAGCGGCGGTGCTGCTGCAGTGGGTTCAGAGAGAGGACCTCTACTCGACCTTCCAATTCCGCAACAACCCACGGGACGTAGATCTGGGGTTGAGAGCGCGGTACGATCTGTCGACCTACTCAACGCCCCGATACCTCAACATGAGATACCTGAAGGAGATATATTAAAACCGTCTAAACCACCGACACCAGCACCGAAACTTAAGAAAAAGATAGATGAAGCTGTTGAAGCTGCAAAGAGAAAAGTAGAAGACTGGGGGAAATGGCTAAAGGATCAAGTTGATCGACCTAACGCACCGAGAGTTGAAGACTCTCTGAAAGAATTCAAAGAGCACCTAAATGAACTCTACAACAATAGCGAGCTGTACCGATTCAAACTCTATGAGGGCATGTCTTCTTTGAGAGGCTTCGCTAAAGTACACACCGTGGATGGAGTTGGAGGATTTTCCCCGTTGGATTTTCTAAAAGCTGTGAAACCAACCATAATTAACTTTCTGTTAACACTGAAGAATGTTAAGATACAGTTTTTTCTGAGGTGTAACATGTCAAAAACGAACATTGCGACGGGTGAGACAGTGCTACAAGATGCACATTTTAAATCTCTGACAAAGATTATCTTTGAACAGACCGATCGGGATGAGATTTATGGAGAATGTGTTGATAAAATGCTGGAGAGTTTGGCTACGTTTACGAGAAATGGATCTGGTTGGGTTGTAAACTCTGTTGACGGCCTTGATCTTCACACGGTGAAATACTCTCCTTTGAAAGGATCATCATACATGGAACTTCCAAAACATCTCGCAAACAAAAAGGCTCTCATCAACATGAAAAACAAAGACGAGGAGTGTTTCAAGTGGTGTGTGACAAGAGCGTTGAATCCTGTGGAGAAGGATCAAGAGCGTATCTCAAAGATTTTGAGAATGCAGGCAACTCATCTTGTGTGGGATGGGATTAAGTTTCCGATGGAGGTGAAAGATATCACCCGTTTCGAGAAGTTGAATCCAGGTATTGGAGTCAACGTTTACATTTCCGAGCAACGTGAGATCAATCCCTTGAGAGTTCGTGAGGCACAGAATATCAAGACTCATATTGACCTTCTTTTCATCACTGAAGGTGAGAAAACGCATTACTGTCTCATTAAGGATTTGAGTCGGCTCATATCGAGTAGCCTGTCAAAGAGGAAGGCCAAGAAGTTTTTCTGCAGACGTTGCTTGAATTTCTTCGGAACTCAGAAGCTTCTCGACACTCACGAGGAGTTGTGTCGAGATCACGATGCTGTGAGAGAGAAGATGCCGGAAGAGGATAGTTTCCTCTATTTTAAGAATCACTACAAGAAAATGGATGTGCCCTTCACGATCTATGCGGATTTTGAGAGCGTTATCAAACCTATTCAATCATGTCAACCCCCTTCGGGTGAGTGCTACACCGAGAAGAAACAGCAACACGTCCCTGTGAGTTTCGTCTACTATGTGAAATGCTCTTTTGACGATCAATATTCAAAGATGATGACCTATGTGGCGAAATCTGAAGATGAAGATGTTGCGCAGATATTTGTGAAAATGCTTGAAAGAGAAGTTGAAGAAATATACAAAAAGCACCCACCAAAAGAGATGATCTTTACTGGCAGCAAAGAATTTTATGAAATGCAACAATTTTAAATTTTGAAACAATTTTGAAATGCAAGAATTTTATGAAATGCAAATTTTATGAAATGCAACAAAGAAATGAGGCTCGTGCCATTTCCGACCCCGACTACAAGAAGTTCGATGACAAAGAATATCGTTTGAAAACTATTGAAAATGCAAGAAAGACTGGTGGCGAAAAAGCGGCGCAGTTGCTCATTGACATGTTTGAAGCGGTGGACAAAGCTAAGATCAAACTTCCAGAAGGTAGCGATGCTGAAAAGTTTGTAAATGCTACGTCTTGTTGGATATGCGGCGAAGATTTCAAAGAGGGTGAAGAACCCGTGCGCGATCATGATCATTACACAGGAGTTTTTAGAGGCGCAGCGCATAAATTATGTAATCTTAGATTCAGCTGCCCAAAATTCGTACCTGTGGTGTTTCATAATCTTGCAAACTACGATGCGCATCTATTCGTTAAGAATTTAGGCGTTTCAGAAGGTGAGATCAAATGCATTCCCAACAACGAGGAGAAGTATATCAGCTTCTCGAAAGATGTTGTGGTAGACGAGTATTTCGACGCAGATAATAGAGAAAATGTTGTTGTGAGGAGAGAATTGCGCTTCATTGACTCCTTCAAATTCATGGCTTCAAGTCTCGACAATCTCGTCAACAACCTCACCAAAAAGGGTGACAACTCTTTAGTGAATACAGGAAGATATTTCCGTGATGAAAAGCTTGATCTCTTGAAGAAGAAGGGGGTGTTTCCATACGAGTGGTTCAACTCCATCGAGAAGCTTGATGAGACAGAGTTTCCACCGATTGAAGCTTTCTTCTCTGTGTTAAGTGGTGCCGGTATCTCTGAGGAAGACTATGCACACGCTCAAAATGTATGGAAAACCTTCAAAATAAAGACGATGCGAGACTACCTCAAACTTTACAATCGAAGCGATGTTCTCTTGCTGTGCGATGTGTTTGAAAACTTTCGAAAGGTTTGTAAAGAGAATTACGAACTCGACCCATGTTGGTATTTCACATTGCCCGGGTTGTCTTGGGATGCTTGTCTCAAGAAGACTGGGGTGAAGCTTGAGTTGTTGAGTGATCCAAACATGCTACACTTCTTCGAGAAGGGCATTCGAGGAGGTATTTCTATGATCACGACGAGATATGCATTTGCGAACAACAAATACATGGGTGAGAAGTTTGATCCCGCCAAACCATCGCAGTTCATCACATATTTGGACATGAACAACCTCTATGGAGCCGCCATGCGGATGCCGCTGCCTACAGGCAACTTCAACTGGGAAGATGAGGATGCTGATTGGGAGAGTTTCCCCTGCGCTGTTGAAGTTGATTTACCTCCTATCAAACACGAACTGCACGATTATTTCAATGATTACCCTCCAGCTCCTGAGAACATGAAAGTTGACAAAGTGTACAAGCTGGTGTGTACGCTTGGTGAAAAGAAGAAATACATCGTTCATCACGAAACACTGAAGCTTTACAAATCTCTTGGAATTGAAATAGGGAAGATCCACCGCATCCTTAGGTTTGATGAGAGCCCTTGGATGCGAGGTTATATAGATCACAACACAGCCTTGCGAGCTAAGGCTGACAACGACTTCGAAAAAGACCTATGGAAGCTCTTCAACAACGCGTGTTTCGGTAAGACGATGGAAAACATTCGTAAACGTGTGGATGTTCGGCTTGTGAACACGGAAGATAAGGCGAAGAAGCTAGCGAATAAGGTCAACTTCAAACATTGTACCATCTTCTCCGAGAATCTATGTGCTATTGAGATGAGAAAGACTCAAATACTTATGAACAAACCACTCTATCTCGGAATGAGTATTCTCGATCTCAGCAAAAAACTCATGTACGACTTTCACTACAATTACATCAAACCTAAGTATGGAGACAGAGCAAAGCTTTGCTTCACGGACACAGACAGTCTCTGCTATGAAATTCAAACCGATGATTTCTACAAAGACATTTCTTCTGACGTGCATCGACTCTTTGACACGAGCAGCATTCCAAAAGATCACCCTTCTGAGATACCGACCAACGTGAACAGAAAGAAGGTGGGAGTTATGAAGGACGAGGCGGGCGGTAAAATTATTGAACAATTCGTTGGTCTTCGTGCGAAGCTTTACAGTTACAAGATGCTTGAGGGAAAGGAAGAGAAGAAGTGTAAGGGGGTAAAGACAAGTGTTGTTAAACGTACCATCAGTTTCGATGACTATAAGAAATGCCTGTTTGGTGGTGGGCCTCAGCTTCGTAAGATGAACACGCTTCGCAGTCGAAAGCATGCGATGTTCATGGAAGAGATCAACAAA